GGTTCAATGACCGTGGGATTACTGTGCTTGATTGGCTAGCAAACTCACCTGACCTGCACCCCAAAGAGAATCTATGGGGCATTGCCAAGAGAAAGATGAGAGACATGAGACCAAACAATGCAGAACAGCTGAAGGCCGCTATTGAAGCAGCCTGGTCTTCCATAACACCTGAGCAGTGCCACAGGCTGATAGCTTCCATGCCACGCCGCATTGAGGCAGTAATTGCAGCAAAAAGGGGCCCAAACGAAGTCCTGAGTAAATATGCATGCTGATACTTTTCAGAGGTCCAATATTGTTCTATGTACAATCCTTGTTTTATTGATTGCATGTAACATTCTAATTTTCTGAGATTGTGGATTTGGGGTTTTCATGAGCTGTAAGCCATAATCATCACAATATGACAAATTAGAGCTTGAACTATCTTGCTTTGCATGTAATGAGTCTATCTCATATATTAGTTTCACCTTTTAAATTGCATTACTGAAATAAATGAACTTTTGTACAACATTCTAATTTTTCGAGTTTCACCTGTACATGCTAGTCATTTCCAGTTCTAGGGATCAGTGCTCATCTCCATTTCAAAGCCAAAAAGCCAGCGCTGTCCAAAGACATCTCCGTGGTCATGTGGCTGGCATGACTAAACACAGAAGCCGCACGGATCACTGTTACCTTCCCACCAAAGTGGTCCCTATTTGCATTTTTTTACGTGCTTTTGAACTGCGAGGTTGGCAGAATCTGGGACAAGTAATGGGGACTCACTCAGTTACGCGGCGCTAGGGATTTGAACCTCTGACCTTCTGATCAATAAGCTCAGCATCTTAGCCACTGAGCCACCGCATCCTCATGTCTTGACCTATGGGGAGTTTAAATATTTTTATTGTCACCAGCCCTCTCCCCATTTACCAAACAGAAGTCCCACTATTTTCTTGTGGTCTTGATTTAATCTTTTCACTGAATGCTTCTTTTAATTCCTGCATTTCCTGCAGATCCCACGGCTTGTGAAGATTGTTTGTGAGAGTTCACCTTACTTCAGAGTCATCAGCCCTAATGATGTGTGCAACAAAGTCGCACCTGGCATGCCATCCACATTCCGCATTCTCTTCACTCCTGAGGAAAACAAGGCAATCCTTTTCTAATGTGTTGTTCTACAAAGTCATTCTCTATAAATATGCCAACCCCCTTCTGTTTCACAGGTTGACACAATATCGCTTTTCACTCTCTCTGTCATAATGATTAGAAAACTGGCAGGCTGAATGCATGAATCCTAGCAGTACTAAAATACAAATCTATGAAACACACAGCATGTGTGTGTATATGTGTGTGTGAGAGAGAGAGGGAGAGGGAAAGAGAGGGAGGGAGGGAGTGGGAGAGATAAGGATAAGATGGTGGAAGCAGTGTTATGCTGAAAGTAATGCATATACAAGGAGGCAAGTCTTGGCTCACAAGAATGCTTCCCTCACCTTGTCCTACTTTCCTCTCCCCTTCTGGACACTGCTGCCTTCAAACAAGATGACAGAGAATTAGTCTTACAAGAGAAGATAGACAGAAGCTGATTTGACCATCTTGCTTAGCATAATTGTATTGGTTTAGTTAACATGTATGCCATGGGTTATTAAACAAGGCTCAGTGGCAGGCTTTGCATTTGTATTGACTTTATCTACAGTAAATATCTGTATTGCAAGAAGATTGCTGGATATTTCAAACTCTCCATGCATTTGTGGAGATTGTCCATGCTTCCCTATTCTTGCAAACCATGCTTTTTCACACAAATGTATTAATTTATACAGTGCCTTTTGTGCTCTATAAATTTTTCATCTCTCCTTTTGAGAAACTCGTCAAGTCCAAGATTCTAGTCATAAGTTGAGGACTACTTATCTACAAGGGCTCTGATCTCCTCTGTAAGGGTAATTTATTTATTTATTTTTTTATTTTTTTATTTTTGTCAATTTCTTACAAGATAATAGGTATAAGTAAAAACATAGTTATGAATACATGGATACATATAAGAAAAAAAGAAAAAAGAAACAATAGGACAGGGACGGTAGGCATGTTGGTGCACTTATGCACGCCCCCTACAGACCTCTTAGGAGGGTCATGGAGAGATTTCTCATTTTTTCCATTCTTTTTTCTACCCAGGATTATTTCCATGAATTAACTTGCATTACTGAGAGGGAAAAATTCATTGTCCCTATCCGAGCAATTGGTGCCAGAGGCATTTTGGATTTCCCAGACCAACTGAATTTCTCCACATCTCCCGTCAAGTACAATACACAGAAAACCTTGCTTGTCCGGAACATTGGCAACCGAGAGGCCTACTACCAGATTGCCACCCAGAGGTGAGGTTTTGAATTTTCTCCCTAAGCCGAAAGGGTTAAGCAAGGGTAATTAATAGAGACCAGCAATAAGTCTGCCAGGCTTTTTATCTTTCAGAGACTTGATAGATTTGTATATATAGAGGCACAGCACAGGCTTTCACCAGCTATAAAAATCCTCTCTTGAACTATGTTAGAAAGTGCCCATCCTGATGTTCTCTTCTGTCTGGTGGCTTTGAGCAGCACTTAGCCTCCTCCAAAACAGTGGCTCTGCTCAAATATTCCGGTGGGCCATGAATCAAAGTGAGTGTGCTTCTTGCTCACACTTGCCACCTTCCTTGCCACGCTCCTCTTGTAGGTCAACCCTCTTCTGTGCTTCCAGATGAAGCAAACAGCGGTTTATCACTAATGTAGCAACGAAAAGGGGGAAGAGATGTCAAGAGAAGAGTAAACTCCCCTCATGTGTCTAAATGAGGTTTCTTTGAAAGCTGAGCTCCATCCTCTCTTGTGATTGTACCTTTCTTTCTCCCCCCCCAGTTTTTTTATTTGTATTTTTCATACATCTCTTCACATGAGCAATGTGATTCCAGATTACAGTATTTATACATAGTCATACTTACACTTTCAACTTTCTTAATTAATATCACTTCAAATTATTATCCATTGACTAATCTTTAGATAAATTTCCCTTTCATATTTCAATTCATTAATTCAGTATCAAAATCATTTCATCCTCATATATTTTCAATTCTTTATCCCCTATTTCCATTTTCAGCTTACCACCTATTTTATATTACCTTATGTATTGTTAATTTTCTCAAGAATAATATATAATTAGACAGTCAATGAAAGAAAAAATGAGTAAAAGTAAAGTAAGATTAATACATTTAGGATCCACTTAGTATATCCCCCCATCTACAATATATCTCATATCTATTCCAGAGATATTCATATAATCATTTCATATTTTTCCTTTGTTTCCAAAATTTCCCTATATAATTTTAATAAATTTTCATTCCCCTGCTTTTGGTTATAGTATAATTCATTCATTATAAATATTTTACATTCCCACATAATCCCTTCTAGTTCATTATATTTTCCATTTTTTCATATCCTTTGTATAATAAATTGTATTTTCTATTTCATGTATACCACAAATAAAATAAAATAAAATAAAAATAGAGTTAATTTCCCCTTTTACTTCCCTTTGGCCAATTTCAACCTATAGCACTTATATAACTCTAATTCACACGTTTTAAACATAATTAATGCCAGATTTTCACCCAAGTCATCATATTTTCTATTTTCCTAATATCATTTATATAGTCATTAGCATATTTTATATTATATATATATATATTAAGTTTTTGCGCATATTTATATGTATGGTATTCAGCTTTGTTCGGGTATTTTCCCACGTCGTTATAGTTATGCTTTTAAAGTTGTAGCAACGTTTCAGCAGAATCTCATCTGCCATCATCAGGCTTCAACGTTGCTACAACTTTAAAAGCACAACTATAACAATGTGGGAAAATACCCGAACAAAGCTGAAAGCGGGTACTTACCATACATGTAAGTACCCGCGAAAACTTAAGAAAATAAATAGATCGATAGATAGATATAGATCTTTGGTTATTTGGGTTTTCTCCCGCGTAAAATTGGAAGTATCTAGGCGACGTTTCGATGAAGTCTCATTCAACATCTTCAGGCTTGTGTCTTCAGCTTTGTGCTTCTCAGAGTAAGAGAGTTCTCTTTACTTTGAGAAGCACAAAGCTGAAGACACAAGCCTGAAGATGATGAATGAGACTTCATCGAAACATCGCCTAGATACTTCCAATTTTACGCGGGAGAAAACCCGAATAACCAAAGATCCACATACAAATACCCGCGATAACCTCAGAAAACAAATATATATATATATATA